AAAAAAAAAGAGTCAAATGGAATGATAAGTTCAATGGGATGTTAGAGGGAAGATTTAGATCAAAACACAGAGGCAGACAGAAAGACAAAAGGTAGCAGAATTGAAGAAAATAACTAGGTGGTTTGGCAGGGTAATCTGAGAAATGCCCTGCACCAGTGTTGCTACTTTACAGTGCAGATTCCAAAAAATAAATGCAAACACATGTTCTGTTCTGTCCTACATCTGGACAACGATCTGTCTTGTTTTTTCCCCTCCTCCTTTCCTCTGTGGCATAATATACATGTGTTGGAGGAGGTACGGTAGATAAGCCTGTGTACAAAGCTTTTGACATTGTGAATGATTTATGTCTGAATGTGTCATGGGTGAAATGTAGCATATTGAGTACGCGTGTTTCATGAAGATTTCCAAGATCAGTTCAAACCTCAAGTATAAAATGATAGCTGCAAATTGATACCAGATTAGAGGAATAAGGAGATAAGGGAGAAATCCGCAGCTACCTGTTGCGTGCTGTTGAAGCCAGTTGAGTTTGTCAGGGAGTTATTTCCTGTGTACAATCCTGACGTTGTTGTGAAAGTCCCACCTATGAGGAGAAAAACATTGGAACTTTAAGTTATGTTACATGAAAAGACAAAATTAAATCTGCAGTAGTGTAAATAAAATGGTGCATTGTTAGGAGGGGGAAAAAAGATTCATCTTGAAACAACTATTTTAGTTGGTGAACAGAGGGAGGCCTCAGGGAGAGCTCCAAACAGTGGCCTTATCTTTCTGCTCTTCCTCCCTTATCTGTGATTGGATCAGGCCTGATGAATGACAGTGCAGAGGTGGACAAGGGGGGGGGGGGGGCAAAACCTGCTTCCAAGCCCGCACAATGCGAAGAACACAAGAGACTGTTGTGTGCGAGTTACCGAAGGGTGGCGTTGAGTAAAGGGGGTGGAAACGGTGGATGCACTCTGGACGGGACATGAGTAGGAGGTGGGGGGTGGGGGTATAGTGACAGAGATGTATATGAAAAAGAGGGTTGAAGTTGGGGTGAGCAGCTCTGGCATGGTGTGCTACTGAAATCCAGCCCTGATGAATATGTATGCTTCTCCTTTCCACTTGTTCAAACTATGGTTCTTCTGGGTAATTAAATCACTCAAAAGGGTCGATAGTATCTAATGCCCTAATATCATACATGCTATGATTTGTAGCATAGGACAGCAGCAGTTGTTGGGACACAACATCTCTCCTCAGTGGCCATCCACCTGTACTGTCATGTCAAGTCAGAGAACAGCAGGAGGGACAGTTTAAAGGGGTCATACACTGGTAGAGAAACCAGATCCTAATTCTTGAGATAACAGTTATTGTGACGATTTAAAGAACTGAATAATTAACATAAAAATCTGTCTTCATTTGCAGATTTCGATCCACGAATTATAAATGTTACTTCTAACTGTTAAAAAAAGAAAAAAAAAGAAAGAGAATTTGCCAGATTTTATTGCCCAAGGTTTAACAGCATTAAACTGAACTCAAATATTTATTTAATCACAAACAATGACTGCGAACTGGTCAACTAAGTAAAACTGGTTTATCCATTATAAAGATGTAGTGAAGGGGATTCCCATTTGAGCAAATGAGCAACAATCGTGTTTATATAGAAGTTTAATTGAAAAATACTCATCGGAAAAGCTGTGAGTAGGCGCCACGATGTGTTGATGTGACTTTTATGTGCAGATTTCTCACTCAAGTGTAATTCATTGTGATCCAAAATAATGACTGCAATTAAGAAATGATTACTTGTGGAGTTTAGTATAAGCAAATTATTCTGCCAACAGTGTAATGCACACATTAAAAATAAACAAAACTAAAAATCAAGGGTTTTGGTCAGTTCTGGTCACTCACTCTCAGTGACAGATGATTCAATTTTAATTAATTAATTCCAAATGAATTGTTAAAAAAAAAAGAGCCCAAAAAACAGTGGGCTTTGTAACTCATTTCTGTCCATACAAAAGCAGCTTGTTTGTCCACATAGCCGTAGGGGACACAAAAAGGGCGCCGCCGTCGTATTCTTTAAACAATTTCTTTACCTATAACCGTAGTCATCCTACCAAGGCCAAGAAAGTATCCCACAGCTTCAGTGAAAACGAGGCAGGAGATAGATTTACTGTTCCTAAATGAGGACGTAATTACACTTTTGTTGTCAGACACAAACAGAGGGAGTTCCTTTCATCCTATGGTCATTGGCCCCATCAGGAGGGCCCTCCCACACCGTGACAAACATGAAGCAGCTTTCAGAAAGGGGGGAATGATTAGGGAAGTTTTTCTGTGTGGGTGGAGGGGAGTGTGTGTGTGTTTTGTGCGTGTGTCTTTTTTTGGGTGCGGGGGTGATATGGCAGTGCATCCAAAGCAGCATGAAGACATTGAGTTTTGACTTGTCAGTTAGCTACACTTGCAGCACAGTGGCTAAAAGATAAAAAGAAATACCTTTAAATTACCAGAATTTAATAATTATTTGTGCAGCATTTGCAGTTTTTCCTCCAGCATGTTTTACATCCCGGTAATTATCAGCGTTGCTCTTTCTTTTCTTGTTTAATATTTTAAGGGGAAGGAGATACGTAAAACTTTCCTGTGTTCGCTGAAGAAAGTTCAAAATACTGCGAAGGTTCAATTGAACAATAAGACCAAAACAAGGAGCAAAGGCTGCAAAGAACAACAAATTAGCCTAATGCACAGTTCAAACAGTCATAAAAGCTCTCGCTGGCAGGTTTGAGGGTTGCTCTGTGGAGAACAAGGAGCCACATAAAAGCTGAGGGGACCCCCGCTAGCCCGGTGAGAATGAGCCCATGCTGTTTGGAGTGGTGGTGCTGGTTATAGCAGGGAGAGAAAGAAAGGGCCTTGTGGTTCCCCGGGGGGCATGTTTTCTCTCCCTCCCCCTGTCCTGCTCCAGTTAGTTCACTCACTCAGGACCAGACATCATCCCTCCCTCCTCTCCTCCTTCCCTCCTGCCTTCTGGCTCCACAATTGGAAGTCCATTTGCTTTGCTTGATCAGTCTCTTGCCATGGGCTATGTCTATCATCAGCGCACAATATTTGTAGCAGAAGTTTGTATGCCCCACTTGGGAATAGCCTATCAAGTCCAGATGGGGCTCTCCTTTTAAAAGGCAACCAAGGCTTCAGCTTCTTCAGCTCGCACTACCATTGGGACAGAATGCTGGAACCCAATTATTCACCTAATTAGCATCTGCTCAGCACCACCATAAAAACAATGTCTCTGTCTGTTTACGCTCCTCTAATATTTTTTGCCATTTTCGGTACTCCCTGAAATGCCCTACAAAATAAGAGCCCCAAGTGTCCACTTTATGATTTGGTGCCTTGACTTTAGCAACCACACAAAGCTCGATCGCATCAGAGATGAAAGCAAAGAGCAAAAAACATTAATCTAATCGTCCTCTGCCTTGACAGCTGGCCACAGGCTGGTGGCAGCGACACTGAAAGAAAGGGGAGTATCAGATGTGGAAAAGGAGTTTTTGGTTGGGACACCCAGGCCTGAGGCACATTGCCCAGGCAGATCAATAGGCCGGAGAGAGTAATGATGATGGTGTGGCGGAGGGCCAGAGCCACAGTTAGAGAACCCAGGGCCAGAATAGTGGTCAATCTGTCATCTTACATGGCTGTCAATTACTAACGCACTTAACGCTAACATGGGGGAAAAGATAGGCAGAGATAGCTGAAGAGAGTGAGGGAGAGGCTGAGATAGACGGAGGTTAAAAGAAAGACAGAGTAAGAGCATAATACTTAGAAGATGAATGGGAACATAATACTGTCATCATGAGTTAAACCACTAAGGGCAGGATAGCAGCTTGTGCACTCTGCCGCACATGCTCTGACTTTTGTTCCTGTCGTTCTCTCTCTGCCTCTCCTTTTTTCAGGTGTGAAGTGTGCTCCAAAATCTCTGAATGTGGCCAACTGTATTTGGTTAAGAGGCGTGGAAGAGAGGCTTCCCCTGCCACATCTGCTGCTGAGCTGGTGTTATTTATTGTGGGATGTTCTGGGGGCTTTTCTGCAACATGTGGAGATATTTCAACTGTCACACTTTAGATATTACAGGAGAGAATACAAAGACTGCACTAGCAGCTAGCTTGCCCAGAGCAGAGGCTTTCTAAACCAGAGAGAAGCAGAAAGAGTGTAACAGATACACTCCACTGGGCATTAGGCCTGATCTACATTTAAACTGTATGGCTGGAGAGAAAGAGCACAAAAAGGGGGAGTGTAGGGTGCACAACTCATCTTAATCGGTTTCAAGGGCATAAATCTCTGTGTTCTCAGTTCTTAAACAAATGAAAATATGATCACAGGGAGAGAAAAAACAAAGGCTGGGGAGCGACATGGCTGCTGCCTCCTAAGTGCTTGCCATTTTTCCATCTGTGTTGATTCTTTTAAGAGAGGAGAGGAAAGGAAGGCAGCCGTTGTGGCTGCACAAAACACCGCTGGGTTGCAACCACTATCAAGGGTGAGGGCGAGGGCTGTGCTGTGAATAAGTCTTCCTCTGCATGTAGATAAAACATCATCAGAGAGCTATGTTTCTAACATAAAAAAAAAAGTACAATAAACCTTATTTGGAAGGGCCGAATATAAAGACAGAATTTTGTGCATTACATCCAAAAAGAGACCCACTAAAGAAACAGCAAAAAAAATAAAAAATAGTTTGCCATCTATTTCATATGCTGTTGGGTTTAAGTAAAATGTATTTCATCTAGTGGTGTGTTTTCTAACGCACAAATTCAAACTTCGGAAAAAATTGGGAGAAAAAGCAAAGAATTCACAATGATGTCCTCACCCTGCATCTGGTAGCTGTAGGGGGCCTGTCCTGTCTGTGGTGTTGTGAAGCCAGAGCTGTAGCTTAGGAAGCCTGTCTGTCCCGGGGATTGGGACTGACTCAAACCCCCCTCCGTCTTTATGCCTGCCCACAATGGACCTAAATCAGTTAGTGACACCAGATCGGTTTGATGCACAGACAACAGTCAACACAGTTTTAAATTACACTGGACAGCAAAGGGACACCACCTCTGTCTGTTAGCATAACACACTAATCACAGTGGATGACTGGTGATTATCTGTTACTGATTTTCATCATTTGTTGTTTGGAAATTTTATCTTGCGCTGAGTTCCATCACTCTGCACAACAGCACACTACTTTGCTCGAAAACCAAAACGCATGTTTGGATTAGACTTGTTTTATTTTATGATTTTATTAATAACTGTTATTATCATTTAGCAAAGGTCACATGAAAATATGCACAAGTAACAAAACATTCTGCCCGTGTTTGTGAGCTACCCTGACCACTGTTTTGGCTGAGTCAGTCACAATGTAGTCTCTATGCGACGGCAGATTGCAGGACTTTATTCAAATAAACAGTGTAAATTCCTCCACATATTGGAGAGTCTTCTGGGGTCAAAACACTCCAAAGACTTAGGACAAATAAAGTCTACAGTAAGCGATGTACTCTATGCTTCTCTTGCAATGCCAGAGGAAACCAGTTCTTGTTTTCAGATTTATATCAGTAATCTTTCTGATCTATCTGAACAGCTTCATAAGCAAATTTTCTTCTATTGCACTGCAAGAGAGTATGCAGGCACTAAACAACAACTCAGCATCTCTGTTGGTTTTGGTGTACAGGAGGAATTCTGGGAACATGAGCAAGGTACTTTTCCTAAACTTCATGAAGAAAAAAAAATTAGTTGTGCATTTCCAAGACTTTGGGTTAATACAATTTCAAGAACTCTGACATTATTAACAGACTCTATCCTGCAAGAGGAGGCAATCATTTGTGTTAATCTTACCATAAGCTGGTATGCCATAGGGCTGGCCAGGCTGGGGGTAGCTAGCATAAGCTGCGGCCTGCTGCATTCCTGTGGTGTACTGCGCCTGTCCATACGCAGCCATATTTTGGGATGAAGGGGTAGGAAGAATATGCGGATATGTTCTGCTATTTGAGAAAAGAAACAAGAAACTAGAGTGAGAAAAGGAAGGCAGGAAAAGTGAGGCCCGTGTTTTACCCCCAAAACCATAACACAAACTTTGCTAACTGAGAAATTCCTTGTGATTGAGCTACTTCGTTCTAAACAGCCAGCCAAGCTGTAAGATAGACAGCATAGCAAAGCTCATATACATAGTGAAAGAACAATAAATGGCAAAGGAAATTTTTGCAAGATAATAATTACAACAGATTTCAGAGTGCGCTGGCTACAGACACCCATGCAAACAAAGCCAGTCAGAAAACCCCCATCTAGCAGAAGGATCTAATTAAAGAACGAAATGAAGTTGGATGCTGCTTATTTTTTTACAGAAAAATAAAAGAAACCTTACTTGGAAGGGTAAATCTGTGGAGAAAACTGGTGCGTTTGTCTTGGGCTGAAGCCACTGGTTCCAATAGCTGAGGAGAGTTAAAAAGAAAAGAGGCAAGCACATATTTAAACATTAAGAAATAAGGTAAATATTATCTTTTGCCAACAGAACTTCTGGATTCCAAGGAAACAGTAATTACATTGCATTACTCTATTTATTTTGGTAACCTTATTTAAGGTTGAAAACCGGAGAGTTATAATGAAGCAAAATAATCAGGTAAAAACATCAGGTCCTCCTGCTGACCCACGTATCTCTGAGATACTTGTGAGCCGCTATGACAAACACTGGTGTAAACACACACACGACGGCCTGAATCAGTCTCAGCTCGTGGCTTAAGATGCTTTGGGTCTTTCTAGCCACAGCCATATCTGAAGTGATGTCACTGATTGGAGCTAATGAGTGCTACTCGTTTCATCACTGATGAGTATATGCTTCACCGGTGCTCTTAAGGTTGAAATACAAACAACTCTACAAGATTTTTTTATTTTGAGTGCAGAAAAAATTATTTAACTCTAGATTGCCTTTGTCAGTCATGCTGTATGAGGCTCTGGCTCTCTGTGCAATAATCAGGGGACGCCCAAACTCACTCCATCCATCTTCAACAATGTACATATTTGTACAATTCCCCGCCTTCATCAGAATAACTATAATATGCATTCACTTATAAAATTAGTTCTAAAATTACTACACTAATTATAGTTGTGGGGTATGTAAAATTGTGCAATATCAGCTGTCTCACTCCATTTTCCTATATAGTGTTAGAGGGTTTCTCCCAAAGCCGCCTCACAGATCAACCCTATCTTCAGTCAAACTGTGCAGGTGAGACTAGGTGATAGGTAGATAGGTGCAAAGTTGGGAAATAAACTGAGACGGAAACATTTTTTTAAGCATCAGACTGCTATGCATGGTAAATCACAGAGATACTGATTTTTAAATATGCCTTTTGATCAACACAAAGCCCTACTTTAGATAAGACAGGCAACTTTAACACAAAGCTGCTAGCAAGCTCAGATTAAACTGAGAATTAAACTAGCCAGTGCGGTTTTATGTCAAACAACTCAAAATGTACTTGGCTGCTTTGCATTCTGACACATTCACAGCACAGGGTTCATTTTTCCAGCTTGTCAAATAACAACAGTCACAAAAGTACGTTTAATATCTATAATTTGATTATTTGTAGAAAATCTTCCCGGTTACTGTTGCTGATGGTTGTGTGCATGTGCACCCATGTAAAACCAAAGACCACGTATACGTTAACAAAAAATATAAATTTATTTATAGGACTCTGGTAAATAATTCTGAATAGAAAGAAAATCTTTAAAAAGAAATTAAATTTGAGAGTGGAAGAGCTACCTTGAATGTTGTTTTGCAAATTTAAACTTTAAATGTTAAAAAAAAAAAACAATATTCGTCATATTGAATGAAATCAAAATAAGCTAATAAAATGCAAGAGATGGCTGTATAAATTAAAATCTGTTAAGCTTGACAAAATAATTCACAGTTAGTTTAAAACTACAACAATTCGGGGAAGCAACAATCTCAGTCTCGGCATTTAACTGTACCGGAGACGCAGTTTAAAACATCTGTCTAATCGGTCGTGACATGTAAAATAAGGGATTTGGTTGCGGGGGGCGCTAACTGTATGTAACTGTAAGCCCAAACCCCTCACACACGTTATTAATATTGAACACTTTTCCCACATCAGTAGCACCTGCCACTGGACAAAACTTGCTCTTCTGAAGAGCGCTTTGGGTTTCCCCCACGGAGGATATGGGGTATAAGATTACTAAATTTCATTAATACTGTCAGAGACAAAAGTCATGCCGTGATTTATGTCCTCCGAGCGTATAGTATCAAGCATTTAGTTAAACAGCTTAGGAAATAAAGGCAAATTAGCAGCAGGTTAATACCATGTACAGCTGCACGTAGTGCTATTAACAAATGTTTACAGCGAAGATGTACTGCAGATGGTGGAAAAATAAACCCCCCAAATTTTAAATAGTTATAATTCCTATGATAATTCCAACAATGCTTATCATACTCTGCGGCCTTTGTTTAATTTAACAATGTGTTTATGTTAGAGTGTGTGTGTGTGAGTGAGATGTTTCCTTGCTGAAAGGAAGGTGTGAAAAGCCTGGCTCTGATAGGCCGATTGGGTAACAGCCCGTGGAGATCGAGGGCCACTGGGATAGCGCGTCACTCCACCGGACAGACAAGCTCAGTGCATTACAGGTCATAATTCAGTCCTCACTGACATGGGAACCAGTGGAGTGAGGACACACACACACACAGATGCAAGCAAGCACAGCAAATATATATGCTGACAGTTGAGGTAGATCCCCTTGTTCTTAAACACACTATCACACAAAAACACACATTGTAATGCAGTTTTAGCTGAAGGGACATTTCCCGGGTACCGGCTTATCAGTCAGTCATCTCTATGCTCATCTGCTGCATGTATGAGAGAGAGGCAGTCGGACACACATTCACACACATTCACACACACACACACCAAAATGTCTCACCTGATCCTGAGAAGCTATCTAGAGAGGTGTCTGCTACTGAGGTGGCGATTTCGGTGCTGCTCATTGGTTCTGTTTTAACTGCAAACAAAGAAGACACATTCTCAGCGAGAGCACCAAATCAATGTCAGGAAAAAAGGAAAATCTTGTCTCACTACATTAGGCTTCCACATTTTCACAAAGAAAAAATATTTTTTTGGAAAAAAAATAACATTTGATAAGTGTATTGCATGTAAAATAAGGTCAGCTAATTTAAATGCACGATACATTTGTGGTAGTCTTATGTACATGTATTGCTGAATTGTCTAATTATTTTTGGTAGCGTATCTCCTAAGCTAGATTTTCTTTTGATCTCTTGTTATTTATCTTTCAGAGTGACAAAATAGAAAAGATCAAAACTGCAATAGGAAAGTTTTTTATCTACTTAAAAAAGAACCATGAATTAAACTTTCACATGAGAGTGGATTCTAGTAAATGTAAAATACTAAAGCTTTCTATTATTAATTTAAAGAAAATAACCTCCTGACATATCAGTACTTAGATGTGGGATGAATGAAATAAGTGCAGTAGATGTGCGTTAAAGTCGCTGATAAAAAGCGATACGCAAGTACGACTGAAATGTCAAAGAAATATATGGTGTATAAAATCTTTTTAAGAGGGTGGGGAACGCTGTTTGACCTTGATGCTATTATACAGCTCAGCAATAGATTTGCAAAGACAATTTCACAGCTATCCGACAGCTCAGGGTTCTTTGAAATCTATCCATTTCACTTCAGGCGGGCTGAAGGATTGTTTTCTTCCTTTTTTGGAAAAACAGATTGACAATGTGGGCAAAGGAGTCATGCTCAGTGGAATCCCTCATGGTTGAATAAGCCATTTGCTGTCATGTTTTACATGTTTCCACTATGCTTGCTCAGTGCAGGAACATATGCTGACAAAGGGTAGTTCTTTTCAACAGCACACTGATGAAAAATAGTGGCAAATGCATGCATAAACTAGCATTCAGGTCACAGAGCACACAATAACCACTGTATTCAGGAAATCAGCATGGAACAACCAAATTAAAAAAATAAGAATTATAATGCTTATATATAAGTTCACAGTACAACCAATCACTAACAATGAACTCAAGTCAAGTCTGTGTCAAACCATGCTTGAAACAGAATGCCACAAAAAATAACAACAAGTACCAGAGTTTCTGAATGAAAGGCACAATAGTTGAGGCGTAAATAGTAATATAATTTTAAGGGGAGATTTTAAAGAATACAAATTTCTTCATGAGTCAAGTAGATGGTTCAAAATTACAATGAGTGCTTTCAGTTGAGTTGAAAGAAACAAACAAAAAAACAAAACAAAAACACCAAGTATTGTCCTTTCATTGGCACCAACAGTAGACAAACCTGCAGCGGACTGTGAGTTTGAACCTAACAACCAGTCTGCAGTGGTAAGCATTGTGATGTTATCACCTATGGGAAAGACAGAATGGCAAAGGAACACATGACAGTCTACATCATGACTACGGGTCCTGTGTGTCATGAACAAACAAACAAAAATAATAAATAAAAAAAATACTTCTAAAGCTTAGCTGACAATGTGGTTCTTTTAATAAATTGATGTTTTATGATTTGGGCACGACTGCTTCACTAAACAAAGGCTCAGATTTGAAGCACAGGTGAATCGCCTGAGTGACTATAACTATCTAGAGTAGAAACCATATGCAAAGTGCCATCATTTCCATTTGTGGGCTTTGAATAATTACATGGGTGCTTAAATAAACAGCTAATAGTCACGAGAAAACGACCAACAGAGGTACTGAACTGTGTTAAGGCTGAGAACCAGCAAATGTCAAATGAATCCACGCCCCATTTTAGTATCTTGTTAATACTATATTACAGCAAAAGTGTTGATAATATATCCTAAAAAACTTCTAAATATCAGTTCAACACTCACGCCGGCTTTATTGCTGTAAAGCATCGATGCTGTGATAAAATCCTTTTAGGTTTACTGTCACAATTTTCAGTTATTTTAGGAACTTTAGCAAGCATGAAAAGAGAGAAAGGTAAATGTACGCACAATAGCACTGCACACATACCTTCAGTGCCATTGGGTGTCATGGAATTGTTACCGATGTGTGAGTTGTCAAGGTTGGGACCATTAGGAGATTCACTGCTTCCACTTACTCGGCTGTGCGGACTGGCTAGATCCTGCATTTCCATAGACCTGACGACACACACACACACACACACACACGCAGGCACACATCAAAATCAAATTAGATAGTCTGGTTTCAGGGAAGGCGCAGAGCTCTCATGCAGAATTCTGTGTACACAACGTGCACGGTATAAAATGGTGAACATGAGAGAGTAAAAAGTACAGTGTATTCCACTGCACTTACAGTAGAAAAATACACAATTTAATGCAAGTTTACTAATTTCTATCTTGCATGTGATATTTTTCTACTTTACTACTTTAAATAAAGCATTTTTTATGCTTTGCTAAATGCCCAGAAAAAAAAAAAATCAGATTAAAATGAAAGACAAAATGTTACACACACAAAAAAAACTGTGTGGAACAGAGTGATAAAATGACTGTTAAGCATTTTGACAGCACAGTTTGAGATTTCTCACTGGCAGTCACAATTTAACGTAATGTGAACACAAAATGTTTACTCTTGATTTAGTCTGATGCTTCTTGAAACAAAAATGGCCTTAAGTATATATCGTTTTGTGCGATAATGAAGACTGTTAACAGATGTTTGCTGGTTGGAAGCAACGCTCAGCATGCCTGTTAAAAACGCAGCACTCTGCTTGATTATAAGAGTCTATGCCTCAGTGATGGGCAGATGAGAAGCTCATGAGGCATGTGTTTGCTCTGGCAAGCTCCTTAATTGTTTCTGTGTTTATACAAAAGACCACGGCACTGAAAACCTTATTCTCTCTTCTCATTTGTGCGCTCAAAGGATCTGATTGAGCACAGACAATGGAGCTAAAAGAAGGCACGAGTGATTTGAAAAAGTATGGCCACAAACTCTACACCCCATTTGTTTCTGCCGCTGCTCCCATTGCAACAGTGAGTTAATGAAATTAGGATAAAATGTTTTGTACATTATACTGTCATTTTTAATTATATTGCAGGGTTTGGGGTATCTCTGCTATCGATAAACATCGGCCTTTACAAAAGGCCACAAAGATAAATGCTCAAGCAACTCTGACTAGTCTGAGTGATATCAGATGCCACCAAGAAACAGAATTATGAGATAAAAACATTAAATTATGATATGCATTCACTGGGTTTAAAATAACATTGCAATGATATTATGTTGTAATACTTTCCAGTAGATTTTGGCAGATGTAGTCATTTCTTGGGGTTTAAATCCAAATCAATTATTTATGGGAAAAAAAAATATACATTTAGGCAAGACAGTACACACCAAAAAGGTAATTATAATTAACAAAAAACAGCAACACAAAAGTCCAAGTCAGTCTTCTTCACGCGTGCTCCAGTAATGGAAGCTGCATTGCCTTTTTCCCAAAGGTATATTAATTTACTCCTCCCCTAAAAATATCACACCCGCTAAGCATACTCTTAAGGATGATCCAGAATAAACTGACCCTATTTCTTGCACACACGGCTTAATCCTGTTTTCTTTTCCTTTTGCCAAACTTTTTTTGTCATTAACTGACGGCTAAAAAGCCTCCTATCTCTAATCAGTCAAGCCGAGAAAGTTCTTTAGCAGAATTTCTAAAGCAAATCTCTGATGCCACACAGAGAGCTACATGTCTCTGATGCTCCTGGCACTGGCACAACTGTGCTCTTACCTGGACCTAGATGGCTTTGAGTCCTCTCAAACCACACTCCCTTTCTTTATTCTGCCTCCACCTGCCCCAGCAGAAACAATGTCACTCCTTGTTATTGCAGCTCGATGTCACAGTCCGGAGCCATCCATGACACAAAAAGGCTTGTCTGAGAAAACATTATTGTTATTCTGGAGCAGAATGGGAAGAGAGGGCTAGCTGGGGAACAGAGGCTCACATTGTCTCGCTCTGAGCCGCAGCCCCGCTCCACTGTTGTTTCCTCCTCCAGGTCCTCCCTCCTCCCTGAGCAAGGGGAGCATGGCCAAATGACGGAAAGGTGATTCATCATTGGTCTACGACAGCTGCAAACTGGATTAGCCCTCCCCCAATCAACATGCAAAGCGGCTTAGCCAAGGTAAGCAGGAAGGGGTGGGGTGGAGGGGGGTGAGGGGGTGTTGGGAAGGGGGTGAAGGAGTGAAGGTAGGCAAAGGGGTGAGGGGTTGTGGATAGAAGGGGGCTGAGGGCCAGTAAAGGGTGGGAGAGCCTGCCTACTTTCCTGCTTGAGGTAGCCTGCTGCTGCTGGAAGGAAGATGGGACTTGTTGAGCAGTGGCAAGTCAAGCGTGACACCCCTAGCATCTTCAGCAGATCTTTCATCTGCAGTTGACACTATCTGAAATTTATCAGCACTCCTCCTCTAGGCATACTGACAGGTCCTAATGACCATCAGGGCTGTCTTCCCTAGGCCTGCCTGTGCCTGGGGCACAATAGAAAAATGCACAACTTCACAGCCGACTCACAATGGCCATGAAATAAAGAACGGGAGAAATACACACACGCTTTCTTTGCGGTAACACAAAGGTTCATGCTTATGTCTTTTTTTTTTTTTTAGCACACAAAGACACATAACTCATTTCTGTATGTCTGCATGTGTACACACACACACGCTCATGCACAGGGCACTACAGAGGCCCCCAGATGAGTGGCGTACACACACACACACACACACACACACACAGGGCACTTTAGAGGCCCTCAGATCAGTGGTGCATCTCAGACAATGAAAGAGACTGGAAAGGAGAACATGGAGAGCATATGGAGCCACATATGTTTCCTATGACGCTACGAATGCCTCTATTACTCTCCTTTAGCTGACAGTTACATTTTGCTGTCCACTCCCACTCTGCTTGTCTCACTGCAAACATCAAGCAGAGCCATATACTTGCATGGCTATAACACTATATTAGACCTGACTCCAGCCCACCATGGGAATACAGGGTCCAAAAAAGGTCAAAGGTATTCATATGGTCAGGTAAAAAAAAAAGAGAGAGAGAGAGAGAGAGATGGAGCGAAAGATGTATAAAGTCTTTTTTCAAAAATCCTGCCATGATTTTTTAATGGCTGACTGTTTACATGAGCCAGGGTAACCTGAGCTCCATGGTCTAAGGTTTTTTTTTCTTTTTTTTCCCAACAGGCTTTGCTCTTCACACCGAGGCAAAGCCTTCATGAACACCATTCCAGCTTTACAATTTGCCTTCTCTCCCACTGCTTACGACACAGCCATCTTAGCAAAAATAACCGGTATATTTCATTCTCACACCTCACTTATACTTTCACAAAGCACAGACAACAGCATTTCTTCCTCCAATAATTTCTTAATACTGACATACACAAAAAGGATGAAAAAAATTACAACATGAGTAAAATCTATATTTATAGAATAGAAAGAAGAGGCAAAAGCAATGGAGACGAAAGAGAAACACATTTTGCCACAGAACATTAAGAGAGATCACAGAGTTGGGGGAAGCTGTGAAGCGAGAGTGTTGTGGTGGGCTGATGTGGTATGGTGTGTGTGGTGGCTGGCTTCTCTCTTCAACAGTTCATGCCAATAAAGCCATTACCATAGTGGCGTGTCAGCCTTTGCCAGCAGGTGAAACCAGCCAGGTGAAGGGGGTGAGGGAGAGCGGGGAAGATGGGAGAGGAGAAGGGAGGGGGCTTGGATTTAAAAGCAAAAACATGCCTTTCTTTATCATCGCTAAATATTTAGTTTTTTCTTTAAAAAAGGTCTGCATTTAGCATCTTTGATGTGCTTCTTTACTTCAACCTGAACTGCCAGGTCTTTGAAGCTAACAAGAACAAAGCCTGACAAGATGAAGCGTTGGAAGTGTCATCAAAAGAAAGAAAAAAAAAGAAGTGCCACAACATGCTTCATTCAGAGCCGTTAGCAGGCTTTTTTTTTTTTTTTTTTTTTTTCCTACGCTTTACTTATTTCAAGACCTGCATTTCCAAAGATAAATATAGCTACAGCCAAGCTTTTAGCTAGATCATCTGAGCATGCAGGGTGCCTGACCAAGCACACACTGTTTCTTCTTTGCTGCATATACCTGTTATTATACAAGCAAGGGTTGCTTATTTTCATATACGCACTGACATAAAAATTGTGATTTGTTTAGTATTTTAAGATGTTAATGCAAATTTTAAAAATGCACAAGACAAGTAAAAAGTGGCATTTTTCAGTCAATACCCCCTTTGTCATTTCTAATACATATTTATCTTATAATCTACACAAAGTCTTTTGTATTTTACAGAGTATATAAGCCATGTGTTGTGTGTTACAACTTTTGCAAAACAATGCTTTAATCAAAATCTAACTTTAAAACAACTAATCCCCACTTAAGCTGGTCAGCTGAATCCACATGGTGGCCCAGGAAAAATAAATCCACTCGCAAAGAATGTAGATGCGGACAACAATTGGACACAGATGTGAGTGGAATTAGGCACAGTTTACAAAATGCTACACTTCACTTGTGTCTCCATACGAGGCCAAAAAAAAAAAGCCGGCTGCCAACAAACGCAACATTAAATACACTGGTGCTTTTTCACCCTGTCAGTGTTATTAATTTTACATAAGCACTGCACATTTCTGATAAAATGAAGTGACAAGCGAAGTTCAATACTGTTGTAGTTTTAATATCCTTTTTTTGTTTACAAGAAAAACTATTTCTGTTGTTTTATTTATTACGACTTCATCATGGCCCATATATCTTATTAAAAAATAAATCTAAAGATAATTATTATTACTTAAAATATAATAAATTACTTTGTTTTTTAATGCATACATATAATGGAGGAGTATTCTTTATATTTTAGCACTGCGTGCGACGTGCAGTGACAACTGAAAGCGCATGGTGCTTGACATGCAATTTAAAATTTTGTACTTGTCTACAATTAAAAGCACAATTATTAACAGATGTGCTGTTTGTTGATGTGCAATTTGTCGCTCTCATTTGGTTCAATATGACATTGTGCTCCAGCAATTCGCTCAATGGCTACATTAAATCTGTTAATACTGTGCTCTTCAACCCTCAAAATTATTTCCAGAAGGCCACTTTGCCTTTGAGGGGCCATCAAACAAGATTTAAGGTGGACATTTTATCACAACCTGCCTACCACCGTGACCGCTGCAGAATGAGAGAGGCTTTACGAGAAAAAGGTGAAAGAAAGTCCAGGGACAAATCGGAATGATTATGAAGCTTTAATACTCGTCGTTTTAATTTTCTCAATCCTGAAAAAGCAATTTGTTATACTGAGAAAAATTAGTGCTTGCACAGAATAGGAAACAATACACATTTTAAATAGACTTCAAATTGACAACGCCAAAAGTTGCAAAGTAGTTTTAGCAATATCTTTTTTATAAAAACAAAAACATAAAACATAAATAAATTAAATTAATTCTGTGCAATGCATTTGAAATGAAATACATTTTCTCAGCACCTTGCTTTTTATTCTGACTCGGCATAAACACGTTGCCCTTTAACACAAAAGGCACAAAAGTGGGTATTAGTGATTGAGGACCTGCAATAGCAATCATCAGGAAAGCTTAGAAAAGGCTCGGAGCACTCATTTCCTGCTCTTTCAACCACATATTCCAGATCTACACAGGGGTGTGTTAACAAAACAACACCCCACAGTATTTAGTAAACAACCCCTTTCCACTAAATGCCCAGCATGGGCTACTTAATAGGTGCTTTCCTATTACCTTCTTCCTTCTCTCGAGCTCTCTTCCACCCCTTCATCTTCCTCCCTAACAGTTGAGTGAGGCTCGATCAATTAGCCGTCTGTGTCTTTCACCATTTTCAATCTCCTCTCTGAGAGAAGAGGATGAGAGCTTGGCCGGCTAGACACATCCATACGGAAGGCATCAGTCCTTGGGCAAACAATGCCACCATCACCGCCGACCACTCCTGCTTATAAACACTGCTGCTACACATGCATGAAGCACTGCAGCCTGGCAGAGAGACCCTGATCTCTCTCTGTGTAAAGCAAATACACAGTGTAAACAGCCCCAAATCAGCCTGCTCATTATCTGTTAATTGGATAAATACGGTTATTGTGTGAATGAATGGCTGCAGCAGGCAGTCAAACACACTGTCATGTTTGTCTACATAGAGCGGAGGCTCACTAGGCGATCCTAACCTCTCTATTTCCTCTCTTTCATCAGCACACACCTTTTCTAAACTCCAAAAAAGGGCAGGCGTTTGAAAATGGCAAGAATTAGAAGATGAAAAAGAAAAAGATTTCAGAAAGATGAAATGCGCTTCACACGGACACACACACACACACACACACACCATACAATAATTCCTCGACTTGAGATGTAAGCCTGTGATCATACGCAGAACATTAAACCAGAACATCCTTCAATTAGAGGGGCTAGTGATTACAGTGGGTGAGTCATCTTCTCTACACGTGAAACACTGGCGAGCAGAGACGCAGCACGGCCGAGAAGCGGGGTCTGTTGTCGTGTTTAGAGGCTGTGAGCCTCTCAGGTCTTGCAACATTCCTCGCTTCAGCAGATGGCATTAGATGTCAACTGCTTTGACTGTGCTCATTTTGTTTGTTCCGCCAGTAACAAAAAAAAGGAACTACGACAGTCCAGCATCTTTCCCACACTTCAACAAAATGTAGTGTGTTAAGGAAGAAAAAAAAGAGGCTCCCATATTTCAAATGTGAATTTTGATGTATTTACGGTCTTTGTATTATTTTGAATGCCACTAAAGACATTGGGCTTTTTTAAAAAAAAATTAAAATATATTTTTACTCAAAGGTCAAAAAATTAACTTAGGCCAAAAAAAAGAATTTTTTTAATGACTATAAAAAAAATTATATCTGTTTTACACTTGTAATTTACATCAATAAATTATTATTTTTGTAGCCATATTTGACTGGAAACTTGTAAAACTCAGTCGGACTGTATGTAGTATAAAAACAGAGCTTAGTGTATGATTTAGTGTAATTTTTAAATTTTATATTAGCTGGATCTACTAACGTGAAATATAATTAAATACTTTTGCTATCTATCTTTATCATTAATAAACTGCAGCTACC